AGGCTCAACATGGTGTGAGTGAGGTCCAGACAGTCTTCTCCATGTCCGGGTATGACGAATTCTATGGGCGAGTCGTCTGCGAGCGAAGTTATGGGTTTGTAATAAACCCATTGCGAACTCTCAATGCTCGTTTGCGTAGATGGCAGAGAGAAGAGATCGACTTCGCTCTTCATACACTCGCTCGAGTGGGTATGAAGAAAGGGCATGCTTTTCTCCAACAGCGAAAGCGTATCTCAATTAAGAGAATATGTCGGATACGTCGCATTTCTTGCCACGATGTTTCCTAGCGGATGATTTTTCGGTTTTTCTTTCAGCAACAAGAATTTTCTTTTTCTTCGTCACTTTTTTGCTCTTCTTCCCTGTGATACTTCTCGATGATTTTCTTTTGACTCCCCGACGTTTACGATGCGCGATACTTCTATCTCGACCACCGAGTGGAAACTGAAACGCTGCAGATTTCGTGGATATTTTATATCCAGATCCCCTCATCAGGGAGCTTATTTTTTCTTTGGCATTTCTCTACAGATTATCTCTCGATTCCACGAACTGACTTTTGATCGATTCCTTTAACGGTTTATTATTTTCGACGTCTTCTATCACGTTAATTCCAGCGCGTAAAGCTTCTTTTCCTACAGCACGCGCACCCTTATTTAGAAAAGGTAGTATTTTTCTAAATCCTTTAAATAACCCTCCGAGAAAGCTTCCGATTCCATGCCCGCGCTAATAGGGTGAACCGACGAAAACACGTGGAATTCTACTTCTGCTATTTTGATGCGCCGGTATCCCGCGCATCAAAATACTCCTCATATTCCATTGCGAGTTGTTAATTATAGACTGGCGTTACCTTCACGATCGCGCATACGAAAGAAAGTTATTGCTTACGTTTAAAGTGCAGTGTCAGCGTATCGAATTCGAATGGAATTTTATTTCCAAGATGATCTCTTATATATATTTCGATCGTTCTGAAATTTATTCGCTGTAAGAGGATATAATTTGGTAATGAGAAATGCTTCACCAAATTTGCACCCAATGCGTAATTATGACTGCGTATCTTAATCGGTACTACTCTGAAAAGAGGAGTACGCACATCGCCTGTTATATAAGGCGCACAAATATCGCAATATACGAACATTTTATCAGGGACAGCACGCCACAAACTATAGGGTTCGCTACTCCAATATCCGACTATATGTCGCTGCCCCGTCTTCTTATTAAATCCATGAGTAAGAAAAATTTTCTCTTCTGTCTCATTGGAATTAGGTTTACGTATCGAGAGCCTGGAATACAATTCATTTTTACTGGAAATTGCTGCTGAGAAACCTAGCACTCCTAGAAGATTATCGGAAAAGTTTATATGATGCATTTTGCATTCTTCGTCGCAGTTAATACTTATGTAGACTTTGCCGCCAGACGCTCTTTGCTGTTCGAAATAAAAATGCGATTCGACATTTTCACACGCGATATTAATCGCCTTAATAAGCTCGTGGATGTCATCTTAAATTCCATTTGGAAATGGAGCTTCTTTTGCCGTAAACGGGCCATTCGTTTCCTCATCGGGTTTAACGTCGACGAATCACATTTTCGTTATGACGTACGTGTAAAAAGGTACAAGGAAATTGAATCTCACTTATCGCAACCTCCCATTCTCCATGCAACGCTATAGGGTGAGGTAATTCCGAGATGAAGGACAACGTTGTATTATTAGGAAAATGGCGCATACTACTGCTACTCGGGAATATCAGAAGAAATTGTTCCCCCTCCATCGCGAAGAGAAATTAAACTCGATGCCGGAATCCAGGTATCAAACTTACTGGGATAACCGCGCCAGCTAACTAGCACTTGTTTATTAGCTCCTCGTCCTCTACCATCGTCTTTATCACGCGATCAACGATAAATTGTTCTTTCTCTAGGTTTTTCTCAACTCGTGCCGATTCTTGCTCATGAAAAATACCGTCTATGACTTCGTCTGCTAAATCTCGCAGATCGTACACGTAAGGATTTCGCCAATCGAGAATACGATAAATTTGAAATATTTCCTCGCTCCATTTAGTAATCTTTCTCGAAGGCTGCTTTCGCCCTACTGATACAAATGAGATCTCCAACGCGATATTTAATCTTTCGCGTTTGTTTCTTTAATATGTTGTTTTTCCAACGACGTGATATATTTTCACGTGTGATACGGGCGCTTTCTCTCGTTACTACTGCGGGTTGCATTCTCGTGGACGTGTGACGCGTGTGATTGTAAGCACGTACAACGTCCTGTAGAATATCTGCGTAGCTTCGCGTATTTGTATGCGTGAAATAACGCCACATTCGCTCCTTCAGTGTTCTGTTGAAGCGCTCGACAACGGCGGCTTTAATGTCCGGATTGCGTGTTACTCGAAAACGAATATCGTTTTCTTTAAGGAACTTTTGCATTAGGTGCGCGACAAATTCTTTACCTTTGTCCGTTTGTAAGTATACTCGTCCTTCGCTTTTGGCTAGTACGCGTTGAAAAGCTTTTATCACGCTGTTGCTCGTTTTGTCACGTAGCGGTTCTACCCAGCCATATTTGCTTAATACATCGATAATTACTAACAGATAGACATAACTGTCGTTGTAACTTTTTAGATTTCGGAGTTCGATCAAATCTGCCTCCCACACGTCGTCAATGTTTGTCATGTTGTAAGGCAATCGTGGAAATTTTCTGTGCAATGGCTTGTGCAACGTGTACGCGTCTTGCGTTTCGAGCCAGCGTACGATT